GAAGGCGGCTTTGAGCGCTTCCCGCGCCGTTGCGACGATAGCACCGAGTCACAGTGAGTTGGCCTATTACTCGGAAATGGTAGTCCGAGATCTTAAAAAGGATGTTGAACTGTGGTGTTAACAGCATTGACTAGTAGGCCGTATTCATCCGTCGCTTCAACTGCTCAGCAACGCAGCTTATCACCGTCGACTCTGGTCAGGCGTCGCGTTGGACCAGTTGACAGAGATGAGGCCTTCGTCTACAATAAAAATCCGGCGAGACCTGGCGGATCTCGTCAGCACAGAGGCCAGTCTTTTGATGCGGCATCGGGATCAGGAATGCTTCTGCAACCGCATACTCGAGTCATAACTTCAGACCAGCTTGCCGCGGAAGTCCAAGGTATTTACGCCGGACTGGCTTTACTCGAGAGCAAATGCATTGAGTATGACAGCACACAGAAGGAGACTGATCTAAGACAAGAGCAATATCACTCATTAATTTCCCTTCATTGGTCACTTCTCCAAGAGCATCATGACTTTCTATTGGCATCCCAGCACCCATCGGCGAGCGCCGCAATCAGAAGGCTTGCATCTAAGTATTTTATGCCTGCACGAATGTGGCGCCATGGTATACACTCGTTTTTAGAGCTTCTAAGGCGGAAACTGCCTGGCTCGCTCGAGCATATGCTCACCTTCATTTATATCGCGTATACCATGATGGCATTGCTATATGAGACATTTCCCACGTTTGAAGATACGTGGATAGAGTGTCTTGGTGATTTAGGGCGTTACAGGATGGCAGTTGAAGATGATGATATCCGAGATCGAGAAATTTGGACTGGTGTATCAAGATTCTGGTATACCAAGGCTTCGGATAAGATACCAATGACTGGACGACTTTATCACCACCTAGCGATTTTGGCACGACCAAATGCCCTGCAACAGTTATACTATTATGCTAAATCTCTCTGCGTTCCAGTGCCATTCCCCAGCGCTAGGGATAGCGTCATGACGCTATTTGATCCCCTCTTGAATGCAAATCCAAGCGCTTCTCAACGTCTGGAGCCAGTTGATGTAGCTTTTGTGCGAGTTCATGGCATACTCTTCTCTGGCACGCATGAGGATCAGCTCGAGCC